GTGTGATTTCATCTACAGAAAGACTTCTATCCGCTCCTAGCGGCGGCTTTTCAGGCGAGTCTTCCTGCGGTTGCTCAAGGTTAAGGAGTTCCTCAAAGTACTCCCTCTCAACGTAGAAATATGCCCGCATTCTTCATAAAATAGTGCGCGGAATTATTCTTCAAGACATTCAGATTGTCCTGAATATGAGGTGGCGGATGTCTGCCATAATTCCCTATTGGTCTTCTGGAAATTCGACTGCAGTACCTCGCTGAACTGCTCCCTGGAATCAACTTTCGCTCCTGCCTTGGCCACATCTTCGTACTGCATTCGAGTTGAAGGCCCTTGCTTCCAAGCCATCTGTTCAATAAGCCATCTTCTCGATGACAGCCAGTTGTACCTCTTGTGTACATAAGGAAGTTCTTTAGTGATTCCCAGGAGGCAGGCCAATCCGTTTTAGACTGCAGCATTCGGCGGCAGTCCGTTCTTAAAGAGCTGCCACTCGGTTTCCACATCAGTGGTCATCACCGACATCTGTTCAAACCGTATTGCGATGTTGTTGCAAGTTTCGCTCTCGTATCCGCAGAAGATAATATTTTTCTGGTTGCTTTTGCCGCCAGGCCTTCGCATGGTATGGCTTCAGTTATGCTTTCTTTCATAAACTGACATTATTAGACAGACGCAGAAATATCGTGGCAGTAGACAGTTGAACAAATGGAAAAGTTCAGCCCAAACAAGATTTTCGTCTTGGCAAGTTTGGGTACTAACTTCACTTCTTTATAATGACTAATTTACAAGGAAAGAGAATATGGTAATAAGGAGGCAGAGGAGGAAGAGAATAATTACAATTCTGAAGATAATTATGGATATGATGATAATGATGATCTACCGTAAAGAATTACTTCAGCTTTTGGCTGGGTTCCGTTCATTTAGTGCTCATCTTCCTACATCTTGCGACAACAGACATAGTTTATTCAACATAACGCTATTTATTGCGATTGTACAATCGACAGTTGCTAGTTCTGGGGTTTATAATCAATTGCTACTGCTGAATCAATAAAACCGTTTGTTTTCTGTTATACTGCCAATATTCGAATCAGTATGATCAAGCTTCTTCGAAGCGCTTTATTTCCTTTATCGAGCCCTTTAAGCAAGGAAGCTTTCAACTGAAAGAACGGTATAAGCTGCTGAAATGGGCTTTCTTAGACGAGTCGCTGGCCTCTCGCGTCTCGACATGGTCCGGAACAGTGACATCCGGAAGAGCCTTGGATTACAACCTTTGCTTCTCCAGA